ACATTTCGCGCAGAAAGTTTTCTTAAATTTCCTTTTTTTTAAAAAAAAAAAAGATGATATCATATATTCCCAGTAAGCGCACTTCAGGACATGGTGGCCGAGGTTCCTGTTTCTTTAGGGAAAATGGTCACACATTTTTCCAAGTGGATTAGCCTATGGAAAATGCTCAACACCATTTGGTCTTAAAGGTTAGAGTTTCACATGATAGTACAAGCGCATATGGCGCCAGAACCTAGATTTGGTTTTTGTGCATAGGTTGTCTTTTCTCATATATGATTGGGTGCATTTCTGGAAAGGCACATGTCTTTTACGCATTATTCTGGACTGCATTTTATTTGGGATAAAGAAATGGGAATCATGTTGATCAATGGTCCATAAGAGTTCAAGCCTCTGATAGTTTTACTTGCAGAACTGTATGTGCCTGGATTCCCTAGAATAAGGTTTAGGCTAGCAGTTATATCCTTGTGATTTCCAAAGATATGACAACCCTCAAATTCAGTAAGGAGATTGGATATATTGATTCTTGTCAATTCTTTGTTTCCTTGCGTTTTCAAGAGTATAGATATCTTTTATAATGAACCAAAGTAGATTCTGTGAAACTACCCTCGTTTTATAACCTAAAGTAATATTTATTTCTTTGTCCATTTTGAGCAAGAGTTATGTCTCGTGCAGATGTGCTGATACATGGGCTCACCATTAATGATATGGATGGCACAGAGAAGTGCCCTTTCCCAAAAGGTTAACTGAATAATTGTCTATTTATACAGGCCTTTCAAGCAGCATGGGCAGCAGCATGCAAGGTGGAGGCATCTACAGTTCTTGTACCATCTGAACTTGAGTTTGTTGTGGGCCCAATCTCATTCTCTGGGTCTTACTGTAAACCAAATATTCTATTCCAGGTAAATCTACTTCTAACTGTAATGGGTGTCCTTATATGACTAGAGAAATAGGCATGTGTTAGAATTGCTGTCTGAATCTCACTACTTGGCCTGAAACTAGCTAAATCATTTGTTAAGTACTGCATCAGTATCAATTTGTTTTCAGTGTTCTATTAACACCATAAGACCAACTGCAGAAAATGGATGTGCATTTGTTTATCAAAACAAGCACTCTATATCTGATCAGTTTCCTGATACTGTTATGGCGAGTCAGCAAATTATGCAACAAAAATATTATCAAACTGAAGAACAAACTAAATAACAGGAGTACTGGTATCAAATGACATGTTCTAACTTTGCAGCTAGATGGAACTATTTTAGCTCAAACCAGTGCAAGAGTGTGGGGTTCCGGTTTGCTTCAATGGCTTGAATTCACAAAGCTAACTGGAATAGTAATCCAAGGCAGTGGTGTCATAAATGGTAGGGGGCAAGAATGGTGGACATATTCAGATCCAAATGATGACGACAACGACGATGCAGTAAGACCTGAACATCTAACAACATCCTGCTTATAGACAAGTGAAAACGATTTTAATTGCTTACCTGGGTGCTTTCCAACAGTACTATGTAGAGCTAGACAAGATGCCACAGGTTAAACCTACGGTAAGCAGACTATTATTGCAGCACTTTGAACATTTCTGTAATTGCATATAAAACATTGCGTACTTTGATGCAGGCACTGAGGTTTTATGGCAGTTCCAATGTCACAGTAACAGGGATAACGATTGTCAACAGCTCCCAGTGCCATCTCAAGTTCGATAGCTGTCAAGGAGTCATGGTTCACGACTTGACCATCTCTTCCCCTGAGAATAGTCCCAACACTGATGGAATACACCTGCAAAACTCCAAAGAAGTCAACATTCACCACACTAACCTGGCTTGCGGTAATGCTAAGAGGACTCGTATCCCCAACCCCAATATGAACGATCCCTTTTCTGCTCAGTAAACAAGTTCACAAGAATTTTAGTTAAAAAGACACCTGATGTACTAAATAGATAAAGAGACGTATTCTGCCAACCAGCTACATTAGATAACTGCAGAACTTCTAAAAAAGGGAAAGATTCAGGAGTAACAGAGCAATCTCAAAAAACACTAGTACGACCCAGAGTTTAACTGGTTCTTAATGTAAAACTTGCTATTAACACGAAATTTTCTGCATGTGCAATGCAGGTGATGACTGTGTTTCCATACAGACAGGATGCAGTGATGTAAACATACATAACGTGAATTGTGGACCAGGGCATGGGATCAGCATTGGTGGTCTAGGGAGGTACAACACAAAGGCATGTGTATCCAACATCACTGTAAGAGATGTTAAAATGTTCAAAACAATGACGGGTGTCAGAATCAAGACTTGGCAGGTAAGCATAACCTGACACCTCCACAGTCATCCATCCATCCAGCAAGCACTCCTGGTCTGCTGCTGCATTCACCGAGCTAAACGCGATGACATCTTGAAACAGGGCGGTTCAGGGCTAGTCCAGGGCATAAGGTTCTCAAACATACAGGTTTCAGAAGTGCAGACACCTATCATAATAGACCAATTCTACTGTGACAAGACGACGTGCAGGAACCAGACATCGGCGGTGGCCGTTTCAGGCGTTCAGTACGAGAACATCAGGGGCACTTTCACGATCAAACCCGCCCACTTCGCGTGCAGCGACAGCTCGCCTTGTTCGGAGATCACTCTCACCGGGATACAACTCAAGCCCCTGCTAGTGCCACAGCACCACCTGTACAACCCCTTCTGCTGGCAGGCGTTTGGAGAGCTGTACACCCCCACCGTGCCTCCCATATCTTGCTTGCAGATCGGCAAGCCAGCAGGGAACAGCGTGCTGTCTGACGGTGACCTTTGCTGAAACGCCGATCCGGGAATTAGTGTTACTGCTGGTGTTCATCAGTTAAGGCGGTCGTCGTGATTCTTCCGACCCCTTTGCGCGATGCTGTGTAACTGTGCATAGTGCATATGTGCAGCTACTGTCAGAATCAGGAATCAGGATGTGGCTTCCATGGCACATACCAATTCCCCTCTTGCTAGGAAAGATAGTGTTTGCACAGTGTCTCCATTTTCCAGTGATGCATCATGTATGGGATACTTCAGGGTAAGAGTGATAGTAAGTAGCAAAGCCTATTCTCTCTTCAGATGCAGCTATCGTTGGGTGACAGATCCAGCTATCCGTTGTTCGGTACTTCGGTATCGGGTCAGAGTGCCAACTCAGGGATTGACCTCAACCTAAACCTAAACCTAAACCTCAACTCCCTTTCACTTGATGCATTAATGCAACGTTTCATGCTGAGAGATCTAGAACAACCGCAGCGGGAGAGGATGCTAACCGGTGGCGAAGCTGAGATCATCGGCGGCGGGGGCGGATCTCGCAGTGGGGGAGGTGGGGGCTCAAGCCCCCCTACCACCGCTGAACTTATAGAGCCCCTTCAATAATTTTTGTCATGGCTGTTTTGAGGAGGAGAGGCTGGAAGTTGAAAAAGACGATAAACTCGTAACTTCAGCCTCTCTAGCCTTCGGTGTGTTCTAACGTAGGACGCGCACGCGTACGTATACCCTAAATTTTCTAGAAAGAATTGTGAAAAAAGGTGCGACTCTAGGGTTTGAATATCTACTGGACCAAAGACCGTTTCACGCGCCGAGATGTTTCCTTATCATCTAGGCAGTCGGCCACATGGCCACGCGCCGGCCGCGTACTCAAAGGTGCTCGACAAAATGTGTAGGTGCGTGGAGCAGCGGAGGAATCGTGATTCACAAAAGGGTCTGGCCCATTAGAATCTTGCCTTTTTCCCGCACTTGTTAAGGTCCACTGTGCCTTGTAGGTAAGAGGTTTGTAAAAAGTCGTTTCTTGACTTTGACTTCTCGCAAAGTTCGATTTTTTTGGCATATAAAGTTGGATTTTACTCATACTTTTAAAACCGTTTATTTTTAGACCTGATTGTTCTAACGTAGCACCATGCTAAACAGGAGTAGATTTGACTAGATTGGTAATTTAAAGATAAATCAGACTATAAATATTTTTTCCAAAAATTATGCAATAAAAAATCCTAAAATATGGTTTAATTTTAAATTCATAAAATTATTTACCTTAGAAAAACATGAAATCAATTTTAGTTTTTTTCTAAAATCATGCTATATTTTATGGTGTCTAGCTTGGAATGATCTGAAATTTTTATAGCCTCCTTTTGATATTTATTTACTAGCAGATTCTCTCATTATATATTATAATTAATCTCCGTTGATGACACATATTATATAAAAATTCATAAGACTTTGCTGATAATGAAGTGTCATGTAACCACCTCATTCTTGATCCTATTTAATTTCTTTCGACAAAATATTCTAATAGTTTTTAAAAAAAGAAAATATCCGAATCCTATTTACCCAAGTAAACTATCAACATATCGATTTACCGTCCTTGCAATTGACATGGCGCCGTGTATAACAACTGATGTGGCATCATATATTAGACAAAACATCATCTAAAACCATGTAGAGTAAAAAACAAACGGGTTTTAAAAGTTTATAAGGACTAAAATCCGATTTTATATACGAAAACGGAAAACCGTACGAGGTGTTCTGTTCGCTAAATGATGGTTTTCGTGTTCTGGGCCGGACCGGAATCATCTCCGTGCCCGCGTGCCTCGCCGCGTCGAGTCTGCTGCACCAGACGAACAGGAAAGTGTTTTCTCGGATGTGTGATGCAACGATGATTCCTCTTATAAATTCTCATTCACCCCCGAATTGGATCTCCTGAGTCCTCACAATTAGCTCTGCTCTGCTTTTTGTACCGTCGATCTGCTGGTCTGTTCGCCCAAAATTTGCTGGTCTGCTTCTGATGCTCTGATGTCCGTTGTGACGTGTCACTCGTGCTGCCATTCTGTTCTGTGCTACCGCAATCGGTTTGTCACGCTGTACCTGTACAACACATTGAACTACTACGTACCGAGTAGAAAAGCTTTATTGATGCAAACAACACTATGCACAATGTCACTCACACTCCAGCATCAGCAGCTCTCCTCCTCTACCATCAGACACCTCACCTGGCCCCACCATTTTCATTCGTACAACACGGGGAAGTAGGCGTCGTAGGTGCACCTCCGCCGTGCGGACATCAGCGCCGACAGCTTGCGGTTGCAGAGCTGGAACCGCGGCGGCCGGTCGTCGTCTTGGGGCGTCGCGGGAACCCTGCCCGGGAGCCCCAGCTGCCGCTGCAGCTCCGTGAACTCCTCGCCTCGTCGGACCACGTGGTCGTAGCAGATGTACCGGCCCCCGGCCGTGCCGCTCATCTCCTCGTACACGCGGACGTGCGCCTCCGCCACCCTCTCCACGTTCGCCGTCGCCAGCAGGCCTTCGGCGAGCATGGCGTGCGCTCCTGCGAACGTACAAGATGCAGATGTGGTGAGCTCGAATTTTCTATGGTCATCAAGAGATGCTATTGATCGATCTGGCCAGTCAAGATAGTTGTAGAGAGTAGGAGACCTTTGAGGTAGGCAATGGATGGAGTAGGGTTCCGCCTCAGGAATCCCGGCCCGGTTACAAGTGCAGGGCATATGGTCACTAGCTTCAGGTCTGTTCCCCGTGCTGCCCTCCATGCCGCCTTTTCCGCCATCGTCTTGCCAAGTGACAGCCACAGCTGCAAATGTTTAGGCTCCAGCATTAAAATTCTGCTATCGTGTTGACGTGTTCCACAAAAATGACGAGACTGATTCTTCACATTGTAGGCTGTAGCCATAAAAAATTTGGCGCTGTTTAATACAGTCGTGGTTTTGCTATATGTTATTGTCACTCACCTTGTTGTCGCGGCAGAAGCTCTCATCGCTCCAACAATTCTCATCAATGGTGGTTGGGAACCGGCGGTCATAAGCGAAGTTTTGCCTCCACACACATGCCAAGAGCGACGAGGTGAGAACGCACTTCCTCACGGACTCTGTTCTCACACATGCTTCGACCACAAGCTCTGCTGCTTTGGCTTCCAGGCGTGCCATGTGTTTCTGTCGACATTGAAATTCACAAGTAAGGCACTTATTTTACATCAGAGTTAATTACTTATGGCTCTTGAAGATAGAACAATATACAAAGTATGTGAAACCTGTATAATGTTAATTGTTAAAATATCAGATATCTGATTGCAGAATTGAGAACTGTAAATATTAACAGTAAATTATGCTACCAGGTACAGGTATACTTGATCAGCACCATTAATAAAAAGTCCAAAAATGGAGCATTTTAGACACACCAAAACGTAGCAGGCATAGCATAATAGTGATCCAAAGGTTACTTGGGGTTGTAAAAAAAAAAGTTACTTGGGGTTACTCAAAAGTTGCCAAGTTTAGTTTAGTTGGCATTATATTTTTTTCTGAGGCTTGGAGAATTATAAAGACAGATTCTGTGCAATCCGTTGATATTTTTTAATACTCTACCACACACATTTTTCCTCTTAATGGAACTCTTTTTAATACAAATTTTTTGGCTATTTTTTTTTAGAATATAGCACACACTCCCTGTGTCTCAGGAGTGGATATTATTCTTAGGTATTCTTAATGTAAAGTTTTCCATTACTATCTGTAGCACTTGAATTACAAGACACAGCCTCATGCTATCTATAGAAGTAATGTTTTTATTGTTCCAGTTGAAAATGATGGTGCTGGTTGGCATATTAATGTCCTATGGGTCCATGTTCACAAAAATGTGATTGAGACCGCCCAACTAGCAATCATGGCTTCAACACTTGCTCGGTGCCTCCTGATCATGGGGGATAATCATTTTGTATATGCTAATGCCTAGTAGCAAGTTCGTGTGTGTAGAAAGATCAACATCAACGGGCTTACGGAAATGTAAATCTAAATGCAAATGCATATCTTTATTTCATGATCATACAAACAATTTAAGAGGCATATTTAAAATTGCACCTACAAAAGTAAAATAGATTTGGTAGGGAATGACAAAAAGGACAACAAAAGTGGATCACCTAACTATTGGGTTTGATATTGAGTCATTGTTGACTTAAAAGCTGTTCAGAGAGAGCACTGTTAACTACTACAACTGAAAAAGGGGAGGCATGCCCAGATGTTCATACTGTTTGTCAACTGGAAGAACTTTCTATGCAACCAAAAGACGAATTAGATGCCTTTCATGTTTATGTTCAAATGATAAGAAGATCACCACCTTATATATAGCCACAAGAGGTTACATATTTATACAGGCAAAGACAACTTGTAAACTTTGTCTTCAGCGGTTCAGCCGATCCTTTGGAATCACATGGTATGGTATGCCAAAAAGATGTTTTGGGACATGATTCCAATCCAGCTTAAATAAATATATAGAGATGTGTGACGTGCAGAAAGAAAGAGTTGATTCCATATCTATGACGAGGCTAATAAAGTAAGGCAAGGGCGCAAGGCAATGGCAACATCAGACGTGGTCTCATGAAGTCTCCACGATACCAAACTGAGTGGATGTGTGATAGTTCCATTTTGGAACACTTGCACAAGAAACATAACAACAAACTCGCAACCATTTAATGGTTAGACTGGAACACCTATAATCAATTCATTTCCAGCATCCAGGTGTATTTGCAGTTGCTAACATTCACCTACCACCACTGTCTTCCTTGAGCTAAACAGGACAACATCAGGCTGGTTATCAGTTAGCACCTCTGAAGGTCAAAATACTCCAGATACACAAAGCCTTGTGCAAATCAAACTGCGGTAGCCTCAGGAAGTTTTAAATCAATGGTTCATGGTAGGATTCACCATCAGAGGGGAACACCTTGCCAACCAAAAGGTCAGTGTTCCTATATCTAGAAAATTCGAACTCTCCTGCTCTCAAACCGAAAACAAGGAAAGCGCTTCTAGTAACATACTCCACAGATTACGCATGGCCTCAGTTGAGCCATTTCACAGGATCATTCTAAGGTGTGAGTGCCATCCTTAGTTTGTATTCCACACCGTAAACCTTACTGGAGATAGTGAGTGGGTTATTTAAACAGATCAGAACCTATTTTTCCTGGTCCTCAAAATTTTAGCATGGTTGTTCCATTCCAATCACAAAATGCAATTTACATAGTGATGTAAACTATTAGATCTAAATTTTAAATCTCACTTTCATGATCCAACTGATTTTTATCCATGACATGACATAAGCCTTTTGTCTTCCTCTTAGCATTTTAAGACTTTAATATTAGTGCCTACAATTCTCTTATTAATTTTGTCTATCAAGTTGGCACCTACATATTCCATAATGTGCATCTCTACTCTTCCTCGAAAAGAATAAGACAAAGACTTCTGCTTCACAGCACATTGAGAAGCAGGATTATAAAAGTATATAAGACAAAACTAGATTTTGTTTCACAGACAAACAAAATAAGAGAAAATTATCATCAGGCCTACCTTTGCATGTATGACTTTTGTGGCAGAATATTCTGCTCAGAGAATTAGATGCTGAGTAAATATAGGATGAAACCAATACAGGTTGAGTAGCTCACCGTGTAACCGGAGATGCCCCCTGGATCCACAAGTGACGAGGTGTGAAAGACACCAACACAGCCGTCAAAAGCTTCATGCAAGCTCTCCGGGTCCATCACATTTGCGATCACAGTCCAGACCCCGTCCCTGCCATTCTCCCCAAACATCTCCATCTCCCGCAGCTTGTCAAGGTCCTCTGCGATAGCAAAAAAAAAAAACACATAAATAGCTACTTTGATTTGACAGAAAGTTTAGTAAGACCAATTTTGCAATAGGAATGTTCCAGTTCATGACAATGACAACATGCACTTTGAGCAATGGTAACATATTAGGTTTCACGAGAACTTACTTTCCCTAGTAATAACAGAGAAGCCTTGGAAACCACAAATGGAAATTTCAGTTGTTAATTTCTGTTTAAGAGGCCCAATTTTGAAACTTACAATGAGTCATTATCTGATTGAGCATTATATGGAGTGAATGAAGTTTTTTCTCATGTCACATTGTTGCTGACTAAGATTTTGGATAAGAACACATGTAGGCTATGGTTACAACTCTCCTATTCCAAAAAGTTGAAAACTGTCCCTACACACCTCAAAGTAATCAAGTTGGAAATATTATGTTCCCATAGGGAAAACAGTTGATGATCAATTTTGTTTTTCCAATTAGTATACCCCAAACAAATATTATGAAATACCATCATTAGAAATCATTTTTTCACGAAACATGTAAAATTATCAACAATTTATCTCTGCCTAAGATGACGTTAACTGGTGCAACTTTGTCTCTTTTTTTAACATAGAAAGTGTGCTGATGCATATTTTATTGGAAGAAAAGATACCAGAAAATACAGGAAAAGAGGATATCATGTCACACTAAATGAATTCAATTTTACAGGAGAGAAAAGCCAAAAAAAATCACCAACCCCGTAACGAGAACAGCATGTCATGCAAAATCTTGTACACGTATACAACAGAACAACATCATCTCTGGAAAAACGTTTCTTCTTTCAAAAATGTCTCTGTGTCTAACATCTTCCATGGTTTTCATCAACCATTCAACCCTAATTGGCAAGATTTCAAAAATAACAAGGTGCTAAGGAACAAGAAATGATGCATCAGCTAGTATCAAATTATTAATTGCCTTAATGGTCCTTTCGGTTAGGTGGTAAGATGAGGATAACTTACCAGTGTACTATTAATGAAGAAGATAACCTTATCAGATATGCAACTCTTATGCTCCTCAGTGGGGTCCAAGAGAAAAAGGCCCATTTGGAATGCGGGATTTTTTTTTTCATGTTTCTGCTTTTTCCTGTGAAATTACTAAGTTTCAAACCGGCCCTAAAGAAATATGGCATGACCGGGAAAGGAGTGAACTGGTGGGAGAGAGAAATGGGACATCTCTTTTGCATGACTTTGGCCTCTTGCCATCCAAAGAGAGTGACATGTTCAATTTGATCATAAGGGCTACGCAAATTTCCTCTAGTCCAAAACTTCATTGGTGAAATATCAAATTATCAAATAGACTAAAAGTGACGTGCCCATACTGCGTGGACCAAGTAACCAACTATGATGTACTCCCTCCATCCCTAAATGTTTATCGCCATGATTTGCATGTCGATAACTTTGAATCGATTTATAGAAAATACGTGCAACATTTCTATCTCCAAATAAATTTATTAAAAAACTAGATTCAAATATCTAGCCAATGATACTAATTATGTATTATAAATATTAATATTTTTTAATACATATTTAACCAAAGTTGTTTCTCGAAAAACGAAAACGACAGATGTTTAGAAACGGAGAGAGTAATGCTCAACTAAAACTACATAATGGTGGCAGTACGTAGGGGTCAGCATTGGGGCACTGGCGACCTCATTGGGACAAAAAATTAATGACCTGGAATAACTTGTGCCAACAAAACATTGTTGCGTACTCCACAAAAAGTAGAGCCATTAAGGCTTGTTTAATTTCCAACCAAATTCTTAAAAAGTGCTACAGTAGCCATCACATTGAATCTTGCGATACGTGCATGGAGCATTAAATGTAGACGAAAAAAAAACTAATTGCACAGTTTGGTTGAAAATTGCGAGACGAACGTTTTGAGCCTAATTAGTCTATGATTAAATACTAATTGCCAAATAAAAACGAAAATATTACGGTAGCCAAATTCCTAAAATTCACAAACTAAACAAGACCTAACCATCATTCGTACAAACTGCAGACCCTCCAAACTCTGGGCCTGTTCGCTGGTTGGTTTCTGGACTGATTTGGATCGGCTGGTGCTGGTTTATTGTGAGAGAAAAATACTGTTGGCTAGCTGATTTGAGCTGGTTGAAACCAACAAGCGAACATGCTGTCTATGCCAGGTAGGGATTAATGGCAATAAATGGCCGAAAGGTTTGTCTGGAATTTTCTTTCCAACAAACCGTGGATAATTTTTCACCAACCCACTACCAGGCAAGGCACCATGCATGCACCGAACCATACGGATAGAAAACAAGAGATGAACAAAAGGACAACGCCACGACGGTCGCCCAGCTACAAGCAAGCAGTACAAGCAGGAGACCGGAAGTCAGCGGGAACGTTCAGTAAGAAGGGCTCGTTTAAATCCAGTAGGGTCTTGTTTAGATTGCCCTCAAATTTCAAATTTTTTCACTCTCTCTCTATTACATCAATTTTTGGACACATATATAGAGCATTAAATATAGATAAAAAAGTAACTAATTACACAGTTTGGTTGTAAATCAGGAAACGAATCTTTTGAGCCTAATTAGTCCATGATCGGACAAAATTTGTCAAATACAAACAAAACGTGCTATAGTGTCCAGATTGCAAAAATTTGCAATCTAAACACGGCCTAAGTAAAGTTTTGGGTATCATACGAGACGTCACATATGAAGTGTTTAGATACTAATAAAAAAATAAAAAAAATAAATTACAGAATCCATCAGTAATACGCGATACGAATTTATTAAGCCTAATTAATCCGTCATTAGCACATGCGTTACTGTAGCACCACGTTGTCAAACCATGGACTAATTAAACTTAAAAGATTTGTCTCGTAAATTAGTCATAAAATGTGCAATTAATTATTTTTAGTCTATATTTAATACTCTATGCATGTATTAAACATTCGATAAGATAGAGACGCCGTTCACTGGTCTAGAAGTTCCAGACTAGCCGGCTGGTTCCCTCATATTTTATTGTTCATCAAATCAGCCGAACAGTGTTTCTCTCTCACACAACTAGCCAGTTTCAATCAAATTTTAGACCAGCAAATGGAGTTAGAGAGTAAACTTTAGGGGAGCAACTAAACAAAGCATAAATTAATGGACTAGTAACCTTTACTCTCGAACCTATTTTTTCTTACCGCGTTTTTGAACTCCCAACAAAACGTGCACGTTAGGAAACTCAACTTGAAATTGCTCAACATCACGTGCCCGAGAAGGGAGTCGCCGTGAAATTTTGACCACTTTGAATTAAATCAAATCAAAAGAGTTGAACAGCAGCATCGCAGGCAGGAAGAGGGACCAAGCAGCGGTTCGCATTTCCAATCATCAGCGAAAACAACCTTCACAATTCAGAAACAGGGTGCGGTAACCGCAACCAACCCCGGAGACGTCCCACCGCCAAATGAAATGAGAGGAGCCGAGAAACGCATCCGATTCTCACTGCCGAAGCAGGCCCCAATCCGTGGAGGGGGTTAAGGCGAGACTAACTGACCTTGCGTCTCGATGGCGAGGCGGACGTTGTAGCCGTGGCGGAGCAGGCGGTCGACGACGGCGAAGCCGAGGAAGGACGTGCCCCCCGTGACGCACACGGTGCGCGCCTCCACGCCGGCGGCCTCCGCGGCGCGGGCCGCGCGCTTGGCCGCGCCGCCCCCGCCGGGCCTCCACGCCCACGCGCCGTGGAGCAGCAGCGCGGCGCGCATCTCCTCCACCTCGGCCTCCAGGCTCTGCGTGCTCCGCAGCACCCCCATGCCGCCGTCCCCTCTGCGCCTCCGCCTCCGCCGACACCGACACCGACGCCGCCGACGCTAACGCCTCCTCCTAGCACTGCCTGGCCGCTAGCCTTATTGCCTTTTTGCCTTGGCGTCCCCGCGTCGGCGTGCCGTGGAGTGAATTCCTGGACGGATTAGTGCAGTGGTGGATTGGTGGGTTTGGGAGAAGCGTGCTCTGCTCTGCTCTCTGGGGCGGCCTCGGGATTGTGTGATCGGTGGGTCGAGGGTCGTGTGGGCCGCGCTCGGCTCGTGGCTGGCTTGGAACGCAAGGAATATGAACGAGGGCGAGACTGCTCGGGTCGGCTTGGACTTTTATAATTTGTTTGTGTGTTTGAATAGTACAAAATAGCCACTATATTCGTTTGATCGTATCAGTCATGCTTATCAGTTATGATATAATATTTTTCTCTCACAACAAAACAGTATCAGCCGGCTTATAAGCCACAGAAACGATCAAGCGAACATGGTGATATATAACCTAGACTGTTTAGATCAGCTGGAGCTTTTTTTAGCATCTAATGACTCAGTTTAGTCCATGCAAATAGATCCTTAGGAAAATCAAAGAATAATTCGTGTCAAGTCTACTACTTGAGCCTAACAAAACATGTTATTGGGTAAGGAATTGAATCTAACGGATTGAGCAATTGTTTACAGGGAGGCAAGTGAGGTTAACAACATGTTCGGTTGGCTGGTTTGTATCGTTGCTGGTTCGTTTATGTGAGAGAGAAGTACTGCTGGCTGATTCAAGTGAACAGTGTCCATGTGAGGGGGCTGGTCAGCCCAGCTAGCCCTAGCCGAACACGCTGTAAGACTTTGGTTTAGGGTTGAAAGCAACCCTAGGTTAGATATGGAATTGGTTTAAAAGGTCGGTCTCGGATAGAGGCATGGTTCGTTTTGTTGAAAAGTCATGGCTGAAAGTACTGTTCGTTGATTTGTTATGAGAAAAAATATTGTTCGTTCACTGAAATAGTACAACTCATAAGACAAACGAACAGGGCCAGAGTTGGCATGATGTTGGTGACTTGGATAACGACAAGGCGAGATGCTAATGACGACCACTACACCAGCAAGTATTTGTAGGGCGGCTCATGTGCATTTGTAGCTGTAGTTTTGCAAGCCGCCCCTAAGCAACCGCAGCTACAAATGCCCAGTTAATGGGGGCGGCTGATTTCCAAAAATCATGAAAAAATTGCCAAAAATAGTAATTTTTTTAATCCGGGAAGGACCCACTAGTCAGCCACAAAACCATACCGTAGCCGCAGCATTTTTGCGCAATGTTTGGAGACTTCGCATCGGCTAGGATTCGATCCTGCGACCTCGGCCTCGCGCGCTCCCTCCTTTAACCACTGCACCGCACTGTCAATTATATCTATATTGCCTTTTCTTTCCACACATATTATCCTAAACCGAGCATAAATTAATTATTTGAGGCCTAAATGAATTTAAATGAAAAAGTTGTCAACTACAAAGTTTCGTAACTTTTCGAGATCTAAAACTTTTATTTTGCTTGTTTCTCCGATCGAGGTCGTTTATAAAATTTGAATTTTAAATTTGATAAATTCAAACATAATTTTCCTTGACAAGATAATTTCAAGTCAAAAATTTGTCAACTACAAAGTTTCATAACTTTTCGAGATCTACAACTTTCGTTTTTGCTGTTTGTCCATCCGAGATCGTTTAAAAAATTCAAATTTCAAATTTTTAGAAATTCAAACGTAGTTTTCCTTGACAAGATGATTTCAAATTAAAAAGTTGTATAACTTTTTGGAATCTACAACTTTCATTTTGGTTGTTTCTCCATTCAAGGTCGTTTGAAAATTTTGAAGTTAGTATGATGAAGAAATACTAGTTACAAGTTTTAGCTAGAGATTAAAAAGAGAAATCAGTGTTCTTCGGTAGTTTCAAAATTAAATTTCAAACAGCATTTTAAAACAGTAAATGATTTCAAATGAAATAGTTGTAAACAGCAAAGTTTCTTAACTTTTCGAGATCTACAACTTCTAGTTTGGTCATTTCTCCATCCGATGTCGTTTGAAAAAATTCAAATTTTAGTACTTAAATTTTAATATTCGACGTTTATTTATATAGGCGGCTCACGTAGACGTTTGGATATAGAGCCGCCCCTACAAATAGTTATTTGTAGAGACGGCTGATAACACCAGCCGCCCCTACAAATAATTTGTAGAAACGGCTCATTTAAGCACTATTTATAGGGGCGGCTCAAGAGCCGCTCTAAATAAACGGTGGTGCTACAAATTCTTTTTTAGCGGTGAACGCTGCAGACCGGATAGTTTTATAGCCACAATGGGTGGAGCCGGCGGTGGGAAACGAACAACTATAGGTTAATGTGGGAACGAAGGTACAAAGAGGTTAGGCAAGAGGTGGACGTCATGTCTCTGATGGCAGTACGGACCTAAAGTTTTTTTTTTGAGCCGGGGCAATTTAGGGCCTGTTTAGTTTCACCCAAAATCCAAAAAATTTTACGCAGTATCCATCACATCGAATCTTGCGGCACATGTATAGAGTACTAAATATAGACGAAAAAAAACTAATTACACAGTTGGGTGAGAAATCACGAGACGAAACTTTCGAACCTAATTAGTCTATAATTAGACACTAATTGCCAAATACAAACGAAAGTGCTACAGTACCCAAAACCAAAAATTTTTGTCGGCTAAACAGGCCCTAAGTGGAATAAGAAGTATACCTAATCTCCTTTATACATAGACTGCACATTAATTAAATTCAGTGAAGTCCAACTACAATGAGCCCGGGCGAAGGCCCAGGGCCGTCAGACCCTGGGTTCGCCAGTGTCTAATGGCGTGATGAGGTGGTTGTGTAGAGGAGGTAACTGGGGATGCATTAGAACACTATTGTCTTAGTCGGAAGGATGTAGATGAAAGATAATAATAAGAAAAAGTAGGAAGCAGAGGAACGGACAATGATTCTTTTAGGATTATGCACCCACCAGCAAGTTACCCGAGATGGGTAAGGCCCCGTTTAGTTTCTCCCAAAATCTAAAATTTTTTGCGCAGTATCCGTTACATCGAATCTTGCGGCACATACATGGAGTACTAAATGTAGGCGAAAAAAAATTAATTACACAGTTGGCCGAGAAATCGTGAGACGAATCTTTTAAGCCTAAATAGTCCATAATTAGACAATTTTTGCCAAATACAAATAAAAGTGCTACAGTAGCCAAAAGCCAAAAAATTTCGGAACTAAACACACCCTAAGTATATTGCTATACGAGTCAACGATCTTATAAGTTATCTCATTCAGTGTCATGTAGAATTTGTGATGGTGTGGAGAAATAAAAAGGAGAGAGGTGGGAGAAAGAAGTTGTCGTTCCATAAAACAACTATATGTCTCATAAGCTAAAATTCAAGGCTATAAGGCCACTATTGCACTATTGTACGAGTTTGTTATCATACAACTCACAACACTTCTTTTTTTATTCTATTTACACAAAATAAGGAATTATGGATTGAGACAACTAAAGCAACCATTGCATAAGTTACCTATTAATAAGTCTGTCTTAAGATCACGTGCGGCAAGATATGAGACCGTCTATTAGACAATAATGTACCAATATTTGTTGCATATAATCTGGAAAGTTTCATGTATGACACTATTACACAAAAAATTTTGCGCAGCGTTTACCAAATGGGCTCCGAGGCGGTTGTCCTGGTTGCCCGCCTCGGTTATTCGAGGCAGGGCAGCCGGGCCAGCAACCGCCTCGGTTAATGCTTAACCGAGGCGGGCATCCTAAGGCAACCGCCTCAATAAATCATTAATCGAGGTGGGCATTGTAACTCAACCGCCTCGGTAAATCAGGCCTAGCCCGCTAGCCCACACCAGCCCACTACCATCTCCAATATATAAATGTAGGGTTAGGGTTTCGGTCACAACGGGTGCTCTTCCCACTCCCGCGGCGCAACTCTCTCTCTCCCTCTCTCCTCCCTCAACCCTGCAACCGGCACCCCTCTCCCTTCTCTTGAGCCCGCCTCCCTTCTCCCTCCCGAGCACACCTCCAGCGCCTGTGGGGGGTATAACCCCAGGTACCCACGGCAATGGACATGGGCCACACCACCAGGGGAGGTCTAGCCCATAAGATCAAGGCCTACGGTGCTCGGCTCTGGTCGGCGTGCACCGCAAGGCAATCTGAAGATATCTTGGCGATGAAGGAAGATCTGTTCGGATATTATAGATATCGTATTCCTTGTAAATACTTATTATATAGCCGAATAGATCTAGATTTAAACCAACCTGTAACCCTACCCTCCAGACTATATAAGGCGGGTAGAGACTCCTCTCGAATTCATCTTATATTCAATATAATCCACCAAAGATACAGGACATAGGGTATTACGTCGATCAGACGGCCTGAATCTATCTAAATCGCTTGTCTCCGCGCTTGTGTCACCATCTGGCTCCTATTATGCGCACCTCCACCAATTCATCTACTACCATGGGCATACCCCTCGGTAGACTGCCGACCATATTTCGTTGACAGTGGCGCGCCAGATAGGGGGTGTGCGTGCTGATTCCATGGCGAGCCAGATGGTCTGCTTCCCGAGCTCTATGATCCTTCCTGAGCCAGGTCAGACCTTCACGGTCGGATCTATGACCTATGTCATCGGCGCCGACGGCGTTGAGGAAATCGTGGAGGCGTTGCAGAATCACCCTGCGCCGATCGTGCCAACATCTACAATGACATCTCCGATCTCGGTGCCTCGTCGCTGGGTTAGGAGATCCATCAGCAATGATGATCTGATCGCATCCATCGATCGGGTCACAGACCGCTTAGCGGAATGCCAGCTCCTCGTGGATTCAGTCTTAGATCAATTTAGAGCGAGCGACGAAGTTCCTGCACTCCAAGGTCACCATGCCACTAATGCTGAGCACCCTGCTCGTGCACGTTGTCCGAGGTGGCAAGATGAAGATTTGGTGATCACTGCAACTCCGGAAGGGCGTAC